GAGCTGCCCCCACTCCCCACACCTCCCTCCATCCCGCACCCTCCCGCCCCGGCTGGGCAGCACCTACCCCAGTCCCACTCCTCCCTCACTGCAGTGGCCTTGATCTGCTCCCCCATGCCCCTTCCCTCCCCCCTCCCCTTCCACTACAACAGACTTACCAGCTCTTCAAGCTGCCGGGCTGTGTATCAGAAATCTGATCGCAACCGATATGCCTCCTTAAAAATCAGATATCAGTATCAGCCCCCAAAATCTCTTTCGGTGCACCCCTATACGAAACTTTTCAGCTATTTATGTATTGTTACATTCAAACTTAAATACTTCACCTTTTGAATCCTTTTCTTGACCATTTTGATTTGTCATTAATAGTGCAGACATTAATCATCAGTATATCATAATTGAGAAGTATTTTCTCCAGTTACATTGCAGAAGAATATTTTGGTCATCCAATGATGTGGTTCAGAAATGTCTGTTACAGGTGGGCTACAAAATAACAGTTCAGAAACTTTAGTGACCTAAAACTGAGAAATTTGGTAGAACTCATTTATTTATTCATTTATTTTTTCTAAGAAGTTCTTATTCCTATTCCCTTAACATGGTTCAGAAATCATTTAAACATGTTGGGTTATAGTAATAGAAGCTATTGTAGCTCTTATCTTGTTGAGAGAGATATTCAGACCTATGACTTGCATAGCAGTAGAACAAATGCGATGAATGGTATGTCCATTGTACACTTCTGACTGTCTCAATTAACTTGCCATAGCAACATTTATTTCAGCTCCCAGAATTATCACTCATTCAAGGTTAAGGCAAGCAAGATTTAATCCTGTATCAATGTAAGATTTTGTATGCATATCAAAATGTTCAGGTTGCACTTCTTGAGGCATTTGAGGGCCAGAAGCAGCTTTCACTGGGATGAGGATATTCCCAGCATCTCAGTGAGATCCAGTCTTTGTTTTCTTTTAGACTTTGTATTTGTTGTTTTTTTACATCGCCCTGCCCTGCCATCTCTTTATGGAAAGATTTATTTCAACCATGTTATAGCTTTTTATGAATGTTTGTGACACTTTTACTATTGGATTTGTTGCAGCTAAATATACCCAGTGGGTGCATCTACACGTGCACTTTACTGTTGAGTAGAATTAGCTCTAGAGTAAAGCGTCACCATCTACACATGCACCAGTATTAGGGTACAGTGAATGAATTAACTCCACCATAAGACAGTAGTGTTGAGGACAGTACTCTCTTATGGACAGAGTACTTATGTGCACTGAAATGTACGTGTAGACCGTGATGGGCTGGTGGGGGCACAAGGGTGTTAAAGTGTAGGGGCTGCCTGCTGCCTAGCCCTGCACTCAAGCACCCTCATGCCCCAGCCAGCCCCTCCGCTGCTTGACGCTGGAGCCCAGGCCAGACCCCTGAATCCCCTGCCAGCCGGGAGCTACTCCACTCTGTCTCAAAAGTGCTGCAGTCCTAGGCGCATATGTAGAGATGGCATTCAGGATCAGTTGACTCCAGTGCAAACTGCACCAGAGTTTATTGCTCTGCCCTAATTTCACATCTAGGTGTACCCAGTTTACTAGACAGAGATGAGAAGTAGACTCAGTAATACTTTTTAAAAATCCTCTGTAATATGCCTAAAATAAATTTCTGTAATATTGTGTGCTGCTGGTAGTAGAGTGTGTGTTGGTGTGTAACAGGTGGTATAAACGTATTATCAGCATGAGCTTAGGATGATCTGTGTAATTCACTATGGCTTTGTCAGGTGAGTGATAAGCTTTTGCAAGTGCCCAATAAAAGATATCACCCTAAGAAATCCTTGCATCTCATATCATCAAGGCTTTTTTCCTCCCATTGTAAGCATCATAATAGAGTACTTTTTATGTGGAATTGCAGGTAGCACTTGAGAATCAGTTGGGTGCTTTGTAGCATGAAAAAAGTACTCTATTATGTGCTACAAATCATGCTTTGTAGCGTGAATCAGTTTTTCAAGCATCGGTGGAAAGTAACTATCCCACATTAAATGAACTTTCTGTTAAGTATTGATCTCATGCAAGATGTTTCTCACTATCATCTGTGGAGGTGATTAAGTGTTTCTGGAGGGTTTTTTGGATAAAACTAGTAGCACACATTTATATATAGAAATGGTAACAGTAAATCTGCCTCAGGCTTTTCCTTTTGTGCGATGTCAGACTGTCTTAAATGTTCACATTTGAATTTTATGTATGGCTGTGAACTTACCTACTCTTCCACTAGGCCTGTTATTGTCACTCTGAATTAAATGTACAATACACACAAAGTTGTGCTTTAAATATGAATAGAAAGATTATGTAACACTGAATCACAGCTAGCATTAGTCAACAAGTAGCAAGTACTGCCTCTTATCCTAGCATTTTTCTTGGTTTCAGGGACAGGGCTAACAGTTCAGATTCATGCATTTACTGTCTGATTAGTTTTTCTCTGCCCATCTGATAGTGTTTTCCAACTCTTCTCAACTATATTCAGATCACGAATATGTTGAGCAGCAATCGCATAAGTGAGCAATATATTAAAGGGTGATCTACAAAGGAAAAATAGACCTACATTTTTACCCTTCTTTTTATTTTTATTTTATTATACCCTTTGAACATCTGGAAGAAGGAAAAAATCTGCTAGTCTTTTCCGCTAAAAAATTATATCCCTCCCTTTCTTAAAAGGGCTGCCCTAGAACCCTGTGGATAATTTTGTTTCCTCCATGTCTGAGTCTCTTGCACATAGTTATCTCCATCGGCTGTGTAAGCATTGTATGTCAGCCATACATACCAGCCAAGCTAAAATCCTTCTGTGACAATGGGTGCTTCAGCTGTTGGAAAAAAATGACCAAAGCAAGCTGTCTGGGTTCTGTCATAGGTTAGCAGAAAAGAGAGCCATTTGAGTCCATTATTCTACTTGTGATCAATAAGTGAGTCCGTGGGTATGGCTGTCTGTATTCCCTACTTATGTGCCTTAATCCATTTCTATATTGTGAAGTTCTCAAATTCAACAGACAAAGGTTCTTTGGGTAAATCCAAGATCTTTTATTAGACCAACTAAAATGGTTAGATTTTTGTTCTTTACAAGCTTTTGGGTGTTTGTATCTGAAAGCTTGCAAAGAAGAAATTTCCCAGCTATTTTAGTTGATCTAATAAAAGATATCCGATTTACCCAAAGAACCTTGTCTTCCTATGTCCTTAGACCAACATGGCTACAACCTATGTCCCTGAAACACCAAATTGCACAAGTACTCTTGCTTAACTATCTTTTTTCAGAAAGCTTCACCTCAGCTATTTGTTTCAATTTGCATAGTCCTATGCCACTCTTTCTACATTTCTTACTTTATTTAACAAATATGAAACTAATAAAAACACACGAAGTGTACAGATTTTGGGATGATGGGTGCAGTAGAACCTGAATAGAACAGAGGCTAGGAGTTGCTCAGGACTATGCAGCAAGCTGGTTACGAAGCCAGGCTGCCTCGTGACACTTGGAGTTACTCTTGAAGTGCATACTTGTAACCTGATTTTTTTTTTTTTTTTTCCTTCAGGGCTATGAAGACTGGTTACGACATAAAGCAGATAATGAAGTAAATGGAGCTCCAGTTTATGTTGTTCGAAGTGGTGGCCTTGTAAAAACTAGATCAAAAAACATTAGGGTATGTACCTAAAAACTGTTTTTTGCAGTTAAACTGATAGTACTTGAATAAAGTGCTCATTTATTCTATCACAATTTGATAATGCTCTTTTATGTTCTTAATAACAGTGCTTGCTTATTTTTAACAGCATTATCGATGCGTATATTATTTATTCATTTTTCTCAGGTGGGTGATATTGTCAGAGTAGCCAAAGATGAGACTTTTCCTGCCGACCTTGTACTTCTCTCCTCTGACAGAGCTGAAGGTTCATGCCATGTTACTACTGCTAGTTTGGATGGAGAAACCAATCTTAAGGTTGGTTGTCTAAATATTTGTGCATTGCTAGTATGAAATATGAGAACCTGGTTAGATATTTCAACCTGGTGAGTAATTAAATAAATAAAGACCAGTATAGTAAACAGATAAATTTATTCAGGGGGGAAGTTTGTACTTGTCTTAACTTTAATTACATTTTTTTAAAAGTTATGGTTTCTCCCACAATGTACATTTTTTAACTAAATGTAAATAGTGACATTCTCTTCCCTGAAGAGTTTATCTTGATACTTTGAGTCCATGCTAAGACACTTAATTATACTCTTTCATTATCTACTATTTCAGCGGTTCCCAATCTGTGGTATGGGTACCACCAGTGGTACACAGGCAGCCTGTCAGTGGTACGCATTAACAGAATTATTATAATTACTTTATAGGACAAAAATTTGCTGGTGGTACTTAAAGTTGTATCGTTTTAAATTGGTGGTGCGCAGCCTGTCAGTTTGGGAACCGCTGGACTATTTTATTATGTTGTGGAACACTTCAAACCTTAATCCGCCACCCTTACTCTGACTCGTTTGAAATCAAAGGGCCTATATTTTGAATGAGATACCACTCAGTATGAGCAAGTAGCAGACTATGACTCATCCATCAATAAGATGTGTCTTAATATATCAAAATTACTGTTTACCTATGTAACTGAGTTCTCATTTAAGTGTTACACTTCTTATTTCATTTTGATTTGAAATTGTTAACATCAGTGGGACCAGGAATCTCTATTGATCTGTTAGTAGAAGTGTTATGTATTAACAGTTAATTATTGTGAGAAATGCTATCAGTACTGTGGCTTGTAAAGTAGTTTTCATTATGGTGGGGAAGCATCTGGCATACTCGAGAAATCATGCTTCTGTGTAGTATTCCATAACCCTCGTCAGGAATCAAAAGCACCAAAACCAAATGCATAAATACAGAATAGGAAATAATTGGTGAGGCACCTGTGGGAAAGCACCTGCTGATTTTGATGGGTTATAGGCTCAACATGAATCATCATTGCACTGCAGTTGCATGCAAGAAACAAATGCAATTTTGGCTTACACTAACAGACATTGTATGTAAAGCAAGGGAGGTGATAGAGGGGTGGGCAAAATACAGCCTGTGGGATGGATCAGGCTTGCCAAGGGATTTTATCCAGCCGCAGTGGGTTCTTTGGCCCCACCTAGCCCAGATGTGGCGGGCAGCCTGGGCTGTGGCACATGTGACCGGTCCCACCACCCCTAGCTGCACAGTGGGGCTGGGGCGGCACCAACCTGCCAGCAGCCCCCACTGGCCTGCCAGCAGCACCCACAGTGCTGCTGCCAGTGTCCACTGCTGCTGCCGGACCCACCCCCAGTGCCTGGGCTCTCTGGCCTGTCTGTCCTGCACCCACTGTCAGGGATGCCAGATGGAGCGGGCAGGCCCAGGACCCACGTGGACAGGTCATGCTTGCCTGGGCAGATGGGATGGGGCTGCAGGCAGGCGAGGAGTGCTGTCCAGGAGTAGGACGGGAAGGTGGGGCCAGGGCAGGGATCAGGATCATGGAGCAGTGATGGCTGGGGTCCAAGCAGAGCTATGATCGGCTCCCCACACGCCCCGGCCTGCAGAACTGGCACCGGTCAGGGGCGTGTTGGGAGCGGATCATGACTCTGCTCCAGGCCCTGGCCCCGGCCCCACACTGTCATGGCCCCATGATCATGATACTGGCCCTGCCCACCTGCCCTGATCCCAGATGCCACTCCCTGACCATGGCCCCATCCCATCTGCCCAGTTCAGTATGGGCAGAGCCACTTAAGGAGTTTTGGTGAGCTGTTGTGGAGCAGGTGGGAGGCCAGAGGAGTTCTGACCAGGCCTACAACAGCTCACTAAAATTCCCTAAGTGGCCCTCCACCCAAATAATTACCCACCCCTGTGATAGTACCACCCTGCTTAGTACCAGTTAGGCCTCAGCTGGAGTACTGTGTGCACTTCTGACCTTTTAGTTTGAAGAAAAGGAGATTAAGGTAGGGACACAATAGTAGTGCCCAAATTTTTGAAAGTTTGTCATAAAGAAAAGGACAAGACACAAAGTGGGTTTAAATTACAGCAAAGAACATTTAGTTTAAATTTAGGGGAAGAAACTTCCTTAGTGAGAGAGTAGTAGGACAGTGGAATAAGCAGCCTGGGGAAGTTGTAGAATTCCCTCCACTGGAGGTTTTCCAAAAGAGGCCAGGTAAGCATTTGCCTGGATTGGTGTAGGAATAGTGTATCCTGCATCTGCAAGATGAACTTGAGGTCCCTTCCAGGCCTGTGAGTCTCATCTGGATGATTTTTGACCAACTAACCACCAGCAAATTAGTACTTCAGTGAACCAAAGATATACTCAAATGCAGATCTTTTTTTTCTGTGTTTTGAAGTCGTGAAGTTAATGGAAAGTATTCTTTTTTCAGACGCATGTTGCAGTCCCAGAAACAGCAGTATTACAGTCAGTTGCCAACCTGGATAAACTCGTAGCTGTTGTAGAATGCCAGCAGCCAGAAGCAGACCTATACAGGTAGTGCTTTATTCTTCACCATTTCAGAATCAATTGAAAGTGAAATACTTAATACTTTTAAGGATGCTGTGGCTTCTGTTGGGAGAAAATTGCTCCAGAAATGTCAGGTTAAGTTTCATGCTTTAATAAATAAAAGTAGGCATTTGTATGTGTGCTGTTATGCTGCATAACATTGCAAATGGTGGACAGATTAAACACATTCTTTGTCGTTTTTCAGTAGTAAATTAGAAGTAAAATTCAATAATATTTCCAATTTATATCATAACATGGATGGCAGTGCAGTTAAGGCATCCAGAAGCACAAGTTCAAACTTGTTCTGGGATTGTGCTGCCCCCACTTGACCCAGCTGTAAGTGGCTACCTGATCATTTTGCCTGGAGCGTTAAAGCCAGTGATACAAGCCAAATCCTTCCTTTGTGTATTAGTAGCTACAGAAACTGGTGTGCCTTCACACTGCTAACTTGCTGAGTCACATAGACTCAAGCACATCTTCAATCTTACTTGACTCTTGATGGGTCTGTATTGCCTTTATAAGCAGGACATTTATTTTAAAAATTAAAAAATAATAATAGTAATGGTGTTTGGGGAGGTTTGGTAGAGAAAAATGAAGCTTTATCTGGTTCTGCCAACATACTTCAGTCCTCATTACTGTTACCACTTTCTGTTGTGTTAGGTTTAAAATGTATCAAATTTTGTCTTTGTTCTTAAGGTATAATTAATTTATGTTGTGGTCTAGGGAGGATTTGAACTGTGTTCCCCAATATTAATAAGTTCTTCACTACAGTTACACCAGTATGTCTGATTTAAAAGCTGAAGTCAGCAAGCAATGTGATAGACCTCTTAAAGTAGTATTTCTCATAACAGATACTATGTTAGACCTGTGTTTTACATCTTGTAGGTATTTCTGACCTTTAATGTAATTAAGGTAACATTTAATATTTTCCTAATCTTAAGTAGTTTCATTAGAAGTGGGTAATTTTCAGTTCATAGTTTTAAAGACAGAGGTGGCTGACTGCATTCATCTAGACAAGTAGAAGGGAGGTGAGGGAGGTATCTTAGAGACCCACCCGATTCAGAGAGGTATGAGCTTTCATAAGCAACAGCCTACTTCTCATTTGACGAAGTAGGTATTGCTTAAGGAAACTCATACTTTCCTGAACCAGTTAGGGCAGCATGGTACCTTAGAGCCTTTTTTTGCCTAATAGTTTTAGTAATCATACCATAAAGCATCAGTTTATTTTAATTGAAGTTGGGATTGCCAAGAATTTTGAAGTTCTTAACAAGAATACATATTTAACTAGCTGTTAAGTATTTGGTTTTTAAAGTGGGTTGTGAAGGGCACAAAGCTACTAATGTTAGAAAGGACTAGCTAAGTTAATGATGGTGAATTTCTACAAGCCTTTAAACTAGGTCTTCTATAAAGCATGTAAAATGTTAGAAAATGTGAAACTTCAAAAGTTGAAAAAAGGTAAAATGGTAATTAATCTGCTATATTAGAAGCGACAATGCTATTCAGATGAAAAATATATTGACTGGTAAACTGGCTTTTATTTTTAAGTTATTTTTTGATGCAGCATAATCATTTATCTTTTTCAACAAAAGAAATAAAGCACATTTGTTCACGTTTCATAAACTGAGTTATGCGGATTTTCTAAAATCACTCAATACCATTTTATTGAAGAATGAATGGCTCATTGCTCTTAATGACAACTTTCTGAAATATTCCACAGAAAATGATCAAGACTGATCTATCATCCATTAATAAAAAAAAACTTCAAACTAGAGACTTTTTTTTATATAGAATGTACCACTGTAATGTTGTACATTCCCAAAGATCTTTGTTTAATATTGAAGATTGTACATCTAAAAACCATTAGGAATTCATCCTTTTGACACACGGCTTTCTTTCCCAGGTTTGTTGGCAGAATAACTATAAGTCAACAAATTGAAGAAATTGTACGGTAAGTGAAGTGTTTATAAAGCTAACTTAACTATGTAGAGCTAAGCTGGGGTGATAAAATATGACATAATAAAAGGGCACAATTATAGAACAGGAAAAAGTAATTGTTATGGAGATGCCAGCTGCAACTCCGTAATGAAGGCTGATGTGAATAAAACTAGAGTAGATGGTTGGGAAATAGTTAAGTGTAAACTTATCAGTAGCCTTGAAAAATGTGAGCTCTGCTAATAGAATTAACTTATATTCTTGGAAGCTATTGCTTGGTCGTTATAAAAGTCGTTATAAAAAATGTGTAGGAATGGTAACTTAATTTGGGGTGGATGAGTGGGGCACCAGCCTCAGGTGCTGACTTATTAGGTATACCAGAATTGTGCCCCCACTGCCATGGAGACAGCACCCCACCAGCAGAGACCCCACAGCATTACTCTTGCAGCAGCAGCCAGGTGCACGGACACCATGCTGCTGCTGCAGGAACAACAGCCAATGCTTTTAAGTCCCCAGCATAAGTCAGACTCCCACAGCCCCACATGTAGAAAACTCGCTTGTAGAAGCGAATTTGGCACATGTAGAAAACTCATTTCCCCACCATTCTTGGAACCCCCACCCCTCTGGCGCTCAGCAGCACCTCCTCTTCCTCCACCCCTCGTCCCCTGCTTTCCCTTGGGGTTTGTCCAGGGTACAAACTCGGCTTGTTTTGCCTCTGTCTAGGAAGTTAGTTTGTCAAGTTTGCAATAAGCACTGGAAGGTGAAGTACTATCCTCTTAATGCAGGAGAGACATTGTGCAGCCACAAGTCTTATTAAATTCAATGTAAACTATTGGTATATCCTTCAGGAGACTGTAACAAAACCCTTTCAGTAAATGCATACTTTCAACGTCTTTTAACTTTTTAAATTCAATAGAGTTGGTGGTGTTGTGTTTACTGGTCATCAAAGAGAAGCCAGTTAAATATATACTGCGCTGATTTGAATTTTTTTAGTCTGAAATAGCTAAATTGGCTTTCATGATTATAAAACCATTTTGAGTTCAGGAATATGGTCAGAGTCTCTTAACAGACAAGACTATTTTCTTGTGCAAATATTCTACTTCTATAAATGTTATTATAACTTGACAAATTCTAAAAAAAAAATTACAAGGATTTTTACTCAAGTTTCAATTGCATTCTTTCTTGTAGTAATTTATAGGGTTGTTGTTTTTTTTTTAAAGGAAGTATCTCAATCTCATGCACATAATTTGCACCTGCTATTATAGTGATTATGGTTAAAACTGGCAGCTGTCAGTAGAATTTTTATTGGTATAGTCCTGCTCAGCTATTTCTGCTGCTGCTTACTGGAAAATAAAAGAAAACAAGGAGCTAAGTGAGCATTACAGTGTTTTCAGTAACCACTCCATCCACATTTAATATGACCAACTTTCTATGGAAGTTTCCCTGCCTCCCTTTCTTTTGATTTTAACATCCTTTTAAAGCACTTTAGGCAAAATAAGAAAATTCATCTTTTTGTTTGATTTCAGATTAAGCATTTTGACAGACTCCAAAGACAGTGCGCACACTGGGCTGGAACATATAGTTCTTTTACCTTAAATGAACCTTGCTAATAATTACTGGTTTATTTCCCACAAAACTATTTTTAGCTGATATAAGATGATTTAGGCAGGCAGACTCAGTGTGTGGTGGTATCCTGGACATCAGAAATAGCTATTCAATACTTTGCATTGTTTTAAACATTGATGTATCTGTTTTATTTTTTAGACCTCTTGGCCCCGAAAGTCTCTTACTACGAGGAGCAAGATTAAAAAACACTAAAGAGATTTTTGGTTTGTAGACATCTAAGTATTTTAACACTCTTCTCTGCCTGAAACATGATGATGCATTTTACCTCATTTTTCTTCTTGCACTGAAGGCACTCTCATGATCCCTAAAATGTTCTCTGTGGAGGATATAATTGTGAATAGAGGGAAAGGTATTCATGGGAAACCTTGTGGGATACCAAATTCCCATTGTTTCCCTGGGAGAACATTTTTCAAGCAGTTTAATAATGAAGTAACAGGAATCTAATAGAAAAGTAACATGGATACTGCTGTCATATCCTGTGTTTGAGACCTTCTTTTGGAGATTGATATTCTGACCTCTATACCTATAGATACACGGAGGATAAATGGAGCAGCAAAAACCAATACTGACCAATGATAATAGGTGTTAAAATTGCTTCCGAAATGTTACTGTGTCATTACTGAATGCTGCTGAAAAGCCATCTTACTGCTTTATTATAGTGTCAGAGCACATAAAAATAGTACTACCCCTCATTTTGGCACGTGTAGAAAACTCCAAGCTGTACCCAGACAGAAACTAAAGTATGGTTCTGTTTTTTTCAGGTGTTGCAGTGTATACAGGTATGGAGACAAAGATGGCATTAAATTACAAGAGTAAATCTCAGAAACGATCAGCGGTAGAGAAGTATGTGCGTTTCATAGTGTCCTCCTTATTTGTAGTATCTTACCTTAGAGTTTCACTTGCAATAAATCATTCATGTTTTTGTGAGTTCCTTAGATATAGACAAAGGAAAATACTGTGAATGCTAGACCTTCTGTAGCCTACTGGAAGTGCAGCTAAAACTTATTTGTTAATGTGGGTTATCTGTACAGTTTGTCTATTCTGTCCTTTTAAGTAAGGATTAGAATAATAAAACTGAGCCAGTATTTTTAACTCCTGGGCACTGCCTGGTGGTAAAATGTCCTCAGGCAGTCTACCTGCTGGTTATGAACGCTAGTTCAGTAACTCAGAGAAGACAGAATGAGTTTGTTCAAGGACATATTTTACCAGATGTTCAGAGGTAGTATCCTACAGTAGCCCCAGCCTTCCTTGTTCTCTTGATATATCCTTTGCTGGGAGATTGTCCCCTGTCCTTAAAGGGGATAGGCTCTATTGAAGTTCTGTTCATTTTTTTTCTGTGGCTTGAATGATGATTTTTCTCCTCTTGTTGTCTCCATGTTGGATGTTTTTCCCTTTTAAAATTTTTTTTTGTATAGTGAAAATAAAACAAAGTTTACATATGAAAATCTTTCCTTATGTGGAGCACTAACTATCTGCAGGTACTGGAAATGGCTGTTTGCCATGGAGGCAGCATTTTTGTGCAATAATCTCTGGTAAAAGTAGTGTGTCCAGAATTGTTTTCTGGAGGATATTAGCACTTCCACAGATTGCAGCTTATGTTTTGAATTCTTGACTTGCTGTGGTTCTAGTGTAACAGGCTGTTAAATATGCTGTTGTGACATAGGTCTCTAAATGGAACTCACTGAATGTTTTTTAAAAGACAAATCGGTGGTAATGTCTTGTATCTGTTTAACTTGGTGAGAAAACTAGGATGCCCCCTGATGTTCTTATACAACCACAAAGTTAACTGTCCTTTGCCCCCAGACACAAGATTGTTTGTCGGGTGCACAAGAGTTACAATAATCTTTCCCACTGCTTGCTTACCATTTTCCTTACACTGCTGGTCAGTCTGGTTTTAGTGCATATTGACCGGGTTGAAAGGTGACTCACAGAACTGCCTGTCAATATTTGGAAGGACAGAGTGCTGCCCTTTCAGCTGGAGAGAGGGGAGTGACCTTGAATTGAATTAGATTCCAGCACTGGGTTTGCAAACAAATTACTCAGGGCCCTGTTACACATTGTACTATGAGCTGCACAAATTTTGATCGCCTTAGTGCTAGGTTGGGGTTTCAAGCCATCATACCTTTAGTCTAGAAACCTTCTGACTTTCCCCTACCTACGCAGCTGTGACTTGCCACTACAGGCCTGCCGTGCAGAGACGTCCCTTCCAGCCCTACTTCTTTATGATTCTCTATGCTTAAGTGTGCGGCTTGCTCCTTACCTCTCCTGCTAAGTAAAGAGCTCCATCCCCACGGCTCCAGCAGCGCCCTGCTCCACGCACCGATCCACATGCTGTGTGGCTGCTCCAGAGTGCAGGGCAGCCTGCTGCCAGGGAAGCTGCTGGTCTGGGGCGGCTGTGGGTGGATCCGGGCAGCGGGTACGAGGCAGGACTAGGAGCTATAGGTGGAAAGTTTCATGGCTGTCTTACTTCCATCAGCTAGTATTACTGGACCTTTCTGTCTCTCTCACACTCCATGTCTAGAGGCAAGAAGGCAGGGAGAGGGGAGCGTTTTCCTCCTCTTAGCAAATCACAGTTTGGGGGACGTGCAGGGCTTTTCTGAGCTAGGCTGGCTCTGTAATGAATCTGCAGCGCTGCCTGCTTTGGCCATGTACCTCAGCCTCTTGGCCAGGATGAGCATTTCTGATGCTCGCCAAGGCCACTGGCTGAGAGTGGGAACTTGAGCAAAAATAGCCCCCTGCCCTGTCCCTGATCAGAACAGGTGGCATTCAGCAGAATGAGGGAGGGTGGGTGGGCTTAGAAAGGGTTGGGAAAGGTTGCATTGGCAGTCACCAGGTGCATGTGTGGCTCAGATGTGCCCTCATTAAAACCTCTGGGCTGTGTGGCTTGGAGTCTTCAGCTAGGAGATGACTGGGTCAGCACTGAGCAAAGGGAGGGAGAGGAAGGGCTGTGGAGGATGCTGGGCAGGTAGGAATTTTTATGGGAGTTGGGGATTGCGGGGGCTGCAGGAAGTCTGGCAGGCAAAATGCAAGGTACTGCAGTCACCTTTCAGCCCGTGTCGAGAGCAACCCTCAGCGATGAAGATGGTGGTGGGGGAAGAGAGGGATCAGCCCTGCCACACAGTGCCCATGTGGTGGCAGTCTGATCTATGGGGGGAGCTTAGTGCACACACAGAACAGGGATGGAGGAGAGGCCACTGCACCCTGGGATACTGAAGGACTTACACTAGGCTGACACATCTGTGGGGAGTGGCCACACATGAATGGAACAGGAGCAGGGTTGTTAGGTCACAGATAATCCTGCTCTGGAGTGGCATAACGTTGAGCTTCATAACACCTGCTTTAAGGCATTTAAAGGTGTTGACGTGTGGACAGTCCAGGAGTTAAGAGCTCCAGGAGTCACCTAAAAGTAACGTGCAACAAGGCCCTCAAGTGTTCACCAGTGAAATAAGTGAGGGTGGGGATTTATTGCATGTCATTTGTTCTGCTAACCTGCATAGTTTGTGGAGTAAATTAGCATAGGTTATCTTTCATTCTCTGGGAGGGAAGAGTGCATCCTCAACTCGCATTGCAGGTAGAGGGAGTTCCTGGGGGAAGGATGATGAAAGTGAGTCCTCAACACTTTGAACAACATCCAGGAAGCAGATTTTGAGACATTCTTGTACCATAATCTATTATTCAACTGGATATAAATCAGTATATACTAGTCAAAAACAGTATTTCTTTCCTGCTCACTAACAATATTGCTCCTACTTGTCACACAGAAACTTTTCAGTTTGTTTAGAAGTGAGACTCTATTTAAAACATTTTAAAGCAAAAGATTTTATCAGCCACCTATATGTTAACAATGCATTTCAGGCATTAAACAAAAAGGAGAGCAGAATACACTGAAATATTATTTTTGTGTCCTTCTAGGTCTATGAATTCATTTTTGATTATCTATTTAATAATCCTCCTTTTTGAAGCCATCCTGAGTACAATTTTAAAATATGCTTGGCAAGCTGAAGAGAAATGGAATGAGCCTTGGTACAATCAGAAGACTGAACATGAAAGAAACAGCAGCAAGGTAATGGGTGGTTGTATAAAACTTCAGTTTGAAATGCATTAAATAAACCGACTGATATCATTGAAGTATGAAACTTAGAATACTTCCATTCTTGATTTGATATATGGCAAACACGCAATTTTGTGTTGCTACCATTGCAAATCAGTATCATTTTAACATATCCTCTCTGGATGAGTCCTGCTTCAGTCTTACTTCTTCAGATCCTATTTCCGAAGTGGGAGAACCTGAACTTCGTTATGCCTTTAGAGTCCCCATTCCATTTCAGATGCATTCATGAGTCTTTGCATGTAAAATTAATGTGTGAGAGTCTATTATTTATGCTTTTAGTAAAATAAAAATGGGCTTGGGATTGCTTTTTTCCCCACGGTCTTTTTCAATACGTAATTTTAGTATTTATTTTGGAGCATTTTGTAGTGATGGAATCATTCAGATAATTTCCCCTTGCCTATAATTTGACTTCTTTGAAAATGTTGCCAAAGTTCTCTCACCTGCCACCTTTTCTTTAGAGCTTGAACGAATTCTTTGTGGTTATATTCCACATGATTTTATAGTATATATTCCTAAGGATTATTCAGTTTTATTTTTCATAGATTAAGTCATTTTTTTTCTTACATGTTAAATTCGTTTTAGGGAGCTCCTGCTTCCCACTTCGTTAACTTCCCCCTCCATCACTTTCATCTTAAAGGCCAAACCTTTCTGTGATGAAAGCAAACATGATGCAGTATCAGTTGCGTTTAGTTTGTTTGTCTTAACCATTTAAAACTTGTTAAAGAAGTTTGTATTTGTAATGCAAGTTGGTTGTTTCAATTCAGTTTCTAGAAGAGAAATGTTTGTATCGCAAAATAATGACGGTTCATGATAACTAACACCTTCATTGGCAGTCTCGCTGGAGAGGACAAGGATTAGTGGGTTTGGGAACTGGAATACCCCTCTCGTTACTAAAAGCATTCTCTCTGCATCAGTCTTAAAACGCATTATTGGGACAGTGGGGGGAAGCCAGCATTGTTGCTACTTGTATTTGTATTTCTTCTGTGTGTAGGGGACTTCAGTCTCCTCCAGTGTTATCACTCTGTCATCTTTTGTACATGCTAAAATATACTTGAGTGACTGTATTCCATTTATTCGCTCTAATCCCTTCCTTCCTTTTTTCTCTCTCATAGATTCTGAGATTTATTTCAGATTTTCTTGCTTTTCTGGTACTTTACAATTTTATTATACCTATTTCACTTTATGTGACTGTTGAGATGCAGAAATTTCTTGGATCTTTTTTTATTGGCTTGGATCTTGACCTCTATCATGAAGAAACAAACCAGAGAGCACAAGTAAATACTTCAGACCTCAATGAGGAATTGGGACAGGTAAACAGAAAAAAAAGTCCTTTTCTTGAATTTTTAAATATTATTAATCAGTAAGGAGATGGGTACTTTTATTTTTCTTGATTCTACCTTGAGCATATTTTCATTCTGATTTGATCTGCATATCAGACTTAATGGCATCATGTAGTCTGCATATCAGACTTGATGGCATAAGTCAGTTTTTCTAAACATTTACAGAATAAATGTTGTGATGTATGAGGAGACATTTTTACTGTAATTGATGTACGTGATTCCAAATTATTTTTTGTTTGTTTAACTAGGTGGAGTATGTGTTTACAGATAAAACTGGTACGTTAACTGAAAATGAGATGCAGTTTCGAGAATGCTCTATTAATGGCATCAAATACCAAGAGATCAATGGCAAACTAATTCCTGAGGGCCTGACCGAGGATTCTCCAGATGGAATTAGACAGAGTCTTGTAAGAGTTTGTTTTTCTTGGAACTGATTACATACTGACCAGCTTTTTAGCTTAAATAAACCTTCTATTCAATGTATTATATAAAAGAATTGGAACTTCCAGAAGGATTTCAACTGTTCCTTTCCTTTTTCATGTCCTTGTGACAAGGTATTTAGCAGAATTACCTGATTTGTTGGAATCTGACAGGCCACGCCATGCATGCTTCTGCTGTGGTCCCAAACTTGCAACCTCTGGGCTGCCAACTATGTGACTTAGCACCTGCACCAGCCAAGCACTATCAGCTGTTAATGGGCATTGGGCAGTTGGAGAGTTTGGACTGTGTCACTGACTGCATTATGCTACTGGAAAGTAGCTCATCTTTATGCTAGGAAGTATGGCTTCTGAATGTTTTGATAATGCTTATAATATTTAGATATCTTTTTTTTCTTATAGATGAAAGAGGAAGAACTCTTCTTGAAAGCTGTCTGCCTCTGTCATACGGTGCAGATCAGTGCAGATCAAACTGATGGCATGGGTGATAGTCCTTGGCATGCCAATGGAATAGCATCTCAGTTGGAGTATTATGCTTCCTCACCAGATGAAAAAGCTTTAGTTGAAGCTGCTAGCCGGTAAGTTCAAAAGCTACAATTGTGTCCCTAATTTAAACAAGCATAACATGGCCAGAAGCCTCTTAACTGCGCAAGGGATTCATGGCCCCATGGCGGATTACTGACTGCCACCTTGTAGCCCACCTGCAAAGCTGCCTTTCAGTAGCTGGAAGTAGTAGCCCAAACAGTAACGTAAAAGTCTTCTCAAATCAAAGTATCAAATTGATTGATCTCTATGGTAGGAACAAGGGGAGAAAAGGGTTTGTCACAATTAAAGGTCTGCACATGTGTTGGTTATTCCTATGGGTTGAAGAGCCATACCTTATCCCAGATAATCCCACATCTAGAAACTGGAGGTTACTTTGCTTCTCAGCACTCTCTGCCTTTTAGGCAAAGTCACCAGTTTTAAACGAAAATGGAATGATGAGTCATTTGGATATTATGTAATCTTTTAATAACTAGCAGGCTAAATTTTGTTCTCTCGCTCTCTAATAGCAGCTCCATTTATAGTTTAGCATTTATTTTAGTAATAGCACACCAGCCTCAGAATTGAAGTTCTGCTTGTTATTGTCATCAACTTTAGTAGTTCCATGAAAAATAAGTTAAACTGCATTAGCAGGAGTTATGAATTCCAAAGCATGATCAACCTGAAAGAAACCATCTGTATCAATTGTCATGCATGTGATTTGCTAATGTTTAGGAGGGTGCTGACATAGTAGAAATCGAATGGCAGTTAGGTTTGGTAAATTAAAAACTGTTATGGAGTGTATATATAAGGTGTCCTATTTAGAATGATAAAGCATGTAATGTACCATAAGGTGTACTGTAGCTGTATATCGTATGGAAAAAAATACATTAAATGGTGGATATTTAAAAAACATTAAAGCTTCTTTCACTCCAAATTTAAACAGTGACCAAATGATATTGTGTTATACATCACACAGCATTGTATTATTTTTACTAGAGGAGACATAATATTTTTAAATCTCTCCAGAAATATAGAACCTCTCTCCTCAAGTTACATAATACTATTGTGGTGTTTAAGTAACTGCTCTTGTACAGAACTTTTGTTAACTAAAATATCAAGCCAATCTTTTTATCTTCCCCCATTCAGAGTTGGAGTTGTATTTACTGGAACCAGTGCAGAAAGTATGGAAATTAAAAGCCTTGGAAAACCAGAAAGGTATTTTTTCTGTATCCCACTTCACTGCTCTTCACAGGACAGTTTGTTTACCAGTTGCAATTAGTGTAGTATTCTATACGTCTTACTGACGTCGCCATAATTAAAAAAATCCACATGGAGATCATTGCTTCCCTTGTAGTTCCTAAAGGCAAGTTTTTCTGATGCCTTTGAATGCAACATCCTTAACCCAGATTCTTTTCCTTGTTAGCAAGGGTCAATTGCATGTAATACTAATAAAAGGGTCTATGTGTTTTATAATTGTCTTTGTGCCAGATCCACAGAACATGAGTCTTGTCAGAGTTCTCATCTGAAGAGTTTGGGCTCTTTAACTCAATTGATAATGTTTCTAGTTCTAAAAGTCCTAATCGGCTACGTGGCAGCTGTCACACATGCACTTTCTGGTCATGTCTCAGATTTTTCAGAAAGGAGAAAAATCATTTACATATTCGATCCTCCTCAGTATACCAGATAATTCTTTTCTTGGTTTTGTCTAGCACATTAATTTCATGGTTTAAGTAATACATTTTCAACCCTGACTGCTTATAATTAGGTTTATAAATTAATATTTAGGACTCTCTGTAGAAGAAGTTTGGTTCAGGAAGGTAGTACAGTCTTTCTGATGGCAGGCAGTTTCCGGGTTGCCTTTAGAAAGTAAAATTTGTGGTAAAATTTTCAAAAGTTCTGAAATGCCATTTTCAGAAGTGGCTTAGACACACAGGGTGTCATTCTATTCCATTCCTGGTCAGCTAAGTGTCCAGACGTGGTTGTCTACATGGATTTTTTGGTTGCTTCAGTGCAAGAAAAAGTCATTTATATGTATGTTGGAATTCTGTTTCTGGCCAAGTAGCCCTGTGCATGTGGACGATTACATATATATGCAGACTGGCCTGCACAGTAGCAGTTGGAGCATGCATGGACATCCCTTGTGAATACGTAGCAGCCTTAGAAACTTGAGTCAACCAAAACATGAAAAATCTTAGAAGGATTGGAAAACAGAGTCTACAACTACCAGGCTTAGACTCAGAAATGGAGAAAGGGGAAGACTGAGGCTAGGTACAGACATTGCACTTCTTCTCGTCTAGGTTATCAGAAACAAGTCTATACCTGTAACACAACAGAACTTTGGGGCACAGACAAGTTGGAAAATGGCAGATCCTGGTCTAAGATAGACCTGGGTCCATGTAGTATCAGACTTGCACGATCTAGGTTGGACCAGGCTATTGAATGTCAGTGCCGGGTCCACTCATGAATCAAGGTCACTGTCCACCCCTATCCCAGTTGCCTTTGTGCCCCCCCTCAGGCAGTTCAGCTTACTGCTCCAGCGGGACAGCCTAGCCAGCCCCAGTGCCATAGCAACGAAGCTTGGCGCCCGGGGCAAAGCCCACAGCAGCAGCCCGCCCTTGCCCCACGCACAGATCCGGGTGGCACACGCTCCCCTCCCTCCCCCCCCATGCTCGCCCTGGAGTACACACAGCAGTGGGAGCCGCCCTTCCCCCATCCCCGCACCCCCAAAACAAGCCACTCGCAGCTCCGCCCCACCCCAGCTTGGCAGCTCCTGTTGGCATCCCTTCACTTCAGCGCTCAGGGTGTTCACCCCGCCTGCCCCAAACCCTTGCTACGGCACTGGCCAGCCCCACCCCCAAGCTCTCCGTCTGTCAGCCAGCCAGGACAAAGGTGGGGGGAGCTTGAGAACTGTTGAGCTGGAGGTGGTGCCAGCAGCATGCCCCACATTCCCAGCTGGGTCAAAGGGGCCAGAGTGTCCCTGCCCTGTCCCAGTACCTGGGACCCTGCACTGCAGTGGCTCAGAAAGGGCTTGTAGGATTTCCCCACCCACCCACCTAGCACCACCTCCCATGCAGCTGCAGAGGGCAATTCTAGCATGGAAATCGGGGGTGTTAGCAGGTCCTTGTGCTGGGCTGTGTTAGCAGCCACCTTTCCCCTGCCTGAGCTGAGCCAGCCCAGCCAGCAGCATTCGCTGCTTGAGCAGGAACAGGGGTGGGAAAGAAATGGTTGCCAGCTGGGCCTGGCACAGGGGCCCTCTAAATCCCCCTCTCTGCCCATTCTCTGTGCTAGAATTGCCCCCTGCCAGATGCTGCAGCTGCAGAGGCATGGCTACTCCCCCTTTCCCAAGGACCAGAGCCCCACCGCTGCACAGGAAGCGAAACTGGCTGGGTGGAGGGAAAATCCTCCACACCCTTTCTGGAGCTGCTGCAGCACAGGGTCCCAGGTCCTGGAGCTTGGGACAGTGCAGGGACACTCTGTTCCACCCCCCGGCCCCGCCAGAAATGTGAGGTACGCTGCTGGCACTGCCTCGTCCCAGCAGCTCATGAACCCTACTCCCTTCACCCCATCCTGCCTGGGGTGGTCCCCCACACCCACCCCAGACAAAGCCTAGGGACCCCAAGGCCACCAAGTGGGAGCGAGAACCCTACAAAGATTGGACCAATGTGGCCTCATGCTTTTTGACTGACTCTACTTGGCCTGAGAGCAAACTCCTATCCTTTCCTCCCAGTAGCTAGGGTACTCACCTTAAAGGCCAAAGAAGCTGCGTTATAGGCACCTTGTGGGGAATAGGTGGAGGGGAGGGTTAAATCTTCATTTCTGATTCCTAGCAGAGCACTCTAACCCAACAGTTCCCAAACTGTGGGTCGCAGCCCCAGATAGGGTTGCAACATTGGTGGATGGGGCTGCAGGGAAGGGTCTTGTTAATGGTTTGCTGTGGTGTGGTTAGTGCTGTACTGAGAAGTCAGATACACCTAGGTTCAAATCCCTGTGTGCGCGCGCGTGTAAAAGCAGGTAAAAAAAGTGTCGCTTCAAAGTATGTTTATGGAGTGCCTGTGCTAAAACATGCCACAGTTTTAAAAAAAAAAGTAAAATGCATCAGTTCAGGATGAACTAAATTACTATAGAAATGTTTATTTCAAAGTTAGTGTTTTCAGATTTGGTCTTCGCTTCCATGTGCTCAGGGAGAGCAAGGTTTGACAGTAAGGGAGCAAGGGAAGGGGCTGCAGGGGGAAGATGTTGAGGGCAAGGGGGTCACTTGACCCTTCAGACTTATTTGCAGAGGAAGGGGGACAGACCCAAGGCAAATTTCCAATAATTAGATTCTGTACCTGGAAAATGATAACATTTATGAATTTGCCATGTATAGAACATATTTATTGGTGGGGGGAGCTGTTTTATATTCAGGATCATCTTGTATATGAGAAAATTTAGTAATGTCCTACAGGCATTTGTTATTAAGAGAATTTTTTTTCATTTATTTTTAATAAGGTATAAATTACTTCATGTTCTGGAGTTTGACCCAAATCGTAGACGAATGAGTGTCATTGTGGAGAGTCCTTCAGGTAAGCACTTGAAATTCATGTAAAGTTGCAGGCAACTGGTAACTGTTGCGTTGTCTTAATTTTTTTTATTCAATGTTTGTTTGTTTGTTTGTTTGTTTGTTTGTTTCAGGAGACAAGCTCTTATTCACAAAAGGAGCAGAATCTTCCATCCTTCCTCACAGTAGGAGTGGAGAAATAGATAAAACAAGGTTACACGTGGATGAATTTGCTTTGGTAAGTGCAAACATTCAAGATCTGGATCTGGTGGATCTTGGTCCTTGTGCAAATTCTCAGAATGTAGTAATAGAAGTCTGTGAAAAAGTGATGTGATAGGTGGTATCAAGCCTCTGATTTCTGTGTAGAAGGACACTGGGGGCACTGACAGATTGTGGGGGGGGCACCTCTTTACCAGAAGAGGAATCGTGTTAGTTTAACTTGGCTCCCCAGCATCTGTATAGATCAAGCACATCAGCAGGGCTTTTTGATACTTTATCTAATAGCTGATTGAATCAGCTATTGGATAAAAGCCCTGCTGAAGCACCCGATCCATACAGACATTGGGCGAGCCAGGTCAAACTAATGCAATGCATTTTCTGAGCATGCACTGCGCTCAGTGTGGGGGTGCACTGAGCTGAAAATAAAGCACTGTGGTGGGGGGCGTTCCATGTCTGTAAGCAGCCTGAGTTTATGCAGCACAGGCTAAGTTCTAATGTGGTTTCATTTTTTTTTTCTTTTCTCAAAATCTATAAAGCACGTTAAAGGAAATGGAAAGATACTGTATTTACTCCTGTGCACCACAGACCTCTTCCTGCCCCGCCTCCCCCAAATCAGCCCTCTGAAATTGGGTTGTGTTTCTTAAGCAGGGAAGACTAGAAGCTGCAGACACTGATCTGCTGATCTCTCCAAATGGTTGCCACTTCTGTGGTCTCAGTAAGCAGAAGGGGCATAGTCCTGTGATAACCCTCTGGAGTCTAGCCTTGGTGTTGTCCTGCCCCACCAGGAAGTTTCTGCTGCCTCAGCCAGACTGCCTTTTGGGGTGCCACACTTCCTGGACACACCATTTCCAGGAGGACTTACTTTGTGACAGTTAGCCATGACTCTGGAAAAATCTTTCTTTCAATGTTCTTCCGTCTAAAAACAACGGGGCATGTGGTATGCGAGAAAATACAGCAGCTTCAAAATTATTCAGATTCAAATTTTCCATTTGCATAATAAGCCATCACTGCTAACCAAGCTTTTCGGGAAACCATTCAGTCCTTTTTTGGCTGCTGTCTTTTAACACCTTTGTTTCCTTTAAAACTTCAACCTCACAAAGCTTTCAAATGTTTTAATTTGTGCAAAACTATTTTAAAGCCTCAGATTAATTTAAGATGCTTACTTTGGGACTATTGGTCAGGAGTGAGAAGAACCTTTACACTGAGAGAAACTCTGAGGCTCTATGAATAATTCAGATTGCTTATTTGCTGATACTCTCTTCTGTTCTTATTTAATGCAACCCCACAATCACCCATCTTTATAGAGGCCTGGATAAGGAGAATTGGGCTGAAGCTAAACTCAGGCAGAAACTGAGGTTATTTTTACTGGGTATAGGAGGCACTTTGAAAGGCTTTCTGCCACACTGAGATCTTCAGTTGAAGTCATTTATGCCTAAGGCATCAAAATAAACTGTAGTCTGCATCTCACTATTCTCAGAAATACTTGATTCTTGCATATAGTGTTAGCTGCAAAACTGTAACTGGCTACAAATCTGCACCCATCCTTTCAGAAAGACAACTCTACCTTAGTCAAATGCTTTAGTACTATATTACTGCAACCCAAAAGCTCACAAGTATAGATAATTGTATAGTCTCTAACACTGTGACGAGATGACATTTGGCCTCTTGGCACTTGCAAAGTCATAATACATTCCTTCTCCATTTTCTGGGTTTTCAAATTTTTCTTCTCAGTGTCACTTATCAGGTCTGTGTGGCAGACAGAGGTTTTTTTGACTTTCATATGGTGTTATGCATCTTTTAACACTTATACAAACATCAGCTCAGTAATAGCAGTAGTGTATATCTCCATTACCTAATGACACTGGCACATTTTAAAGGTGTCCTTCTCATGCATATGAATAAGATATTCAGGTTGTATTTGTAATTCTGCCTGTTTTTACTACCTTCTGTATTCCCAGGAGTGTTAAACTCATTTGAGGCCCTGGGCTGAATCTGGACTGTGGAGCTCTGGAGGTGGGAAAGGGGCCATGGGCAAAAAGAGGTCCAGTAGCAATGGCAGTGAGGGATCTGGAGTTGGCAAGAGGTCCACAGGCAGGGGTCCACCAGTGATGGGAAGAGTCCAAGCGTGTCCAGTTGCAAACTTGGCTTGTTGCAAATGGCCACAGTCAGTGGGGCCAGTGGGCCTCAAATTTTGCAATGGGCCATGCCCCCCAACTTCCAGTGGCCTGCTGGTAGCCCAGTTGGCTAGATAAAGCAGCTCCATAGGCTAGATCCAGCCCACAAGCTGTATGTTTGACACCCGTGTCCTAAAGCAACATATACACATGATAAACCTCACAATTTTCTTTTCATGAAGGAAATATGCTGTGCTCTCCTGTTTTTTATCAAATAACAGAAGGGGCTCAGAACTTTATGCGTAGCTTATAGAAGATTCACAGCTGAGGAGTATCAGGAAATAGACAAACGCCTTCACGAGGCCAGAACTGCCTTACAACAACGAGAAGAACGACTAGCAGATGTATTCAGTTTTATAGAGAAAGATCTGGAGTTACTCGGGGCAACAGGAGTAGAGGACCGGTATGTACTAGATCTTTTGTTACTTCAAAAACAAAGCAGGCTCAGGTCTCTTTTTGTGTAACCTATAAAAATTATCCAAAAGTTCATTTGATCTGGATGTGTATTTCTCTGTACATCAGTATTTATTTTTAACATACTAAATGTTTTTTGTGGCGACTATCAGTAAAACTGTTGTGCATTGTGAAGTGTGTATGTGTATGTACACACGCAATTGTATGCTATAGGCTTTTTAGATGACTGTTTAGAAGTGTGTCTTGTAAAGGACACAGAACACAATCTGACTGACTTCCCTGCATTTTCAGGGCTTGCAGATACCTCCTGGGGAAAAGCTTTGAAGAGTAATCACTTTTGAGACTATTCTCTTTACTATAGTGTATTCTTAATCCGCTGGAATAATATGGGGAATCTGTATGCAAACAATGTTAATGTTAACATCTCCTGATTTTCATAGTAATCTCTGACCTTAAATTGCTGACATAGGAGGCAAAATGCTTCTTAAGTGTATTCATAATATTTGAGTTTTAAATAAGATATTGCTACCGTAAGTTTCAGCTATCAGGGTTACATTTTATGCTGATTGTTTGATTAGACTAAGTGCATTTTATTGAAAGTTTTAGGAATGTTCTTATTTAATCCGGGTAATCCAGTTATATATAAAATACCCTACTGAACCACAGTAGTGCATATATTAGTTTACCTTTTAGCATAATTAAAAGGTATTAATGACTGCATTAAATTCAGTCATAATGAAGGCTCTCTATATAGACAGTTCTACCAATTAGTGGATATTTTTCTTACTTTCAGACTCCAAGAAAAAGTCCAAGAAACTATAGAAGCCCTCAGACTGGCTGGTATCAAAGTGTGGGTGCTCACTGGAGATAAACATGAAACAGCTGTGAGTGTGAGTTTATCATGTGGACACTTTCATAGAACCATGAACATCCTTGAACTTGTGCAGCACAAATCGGACAGTACATGTGCTGAGCAACTGAGGCAGCTAGCCAGGAGGTAAAGTATCATTTATGGCTCTCTGAATGATGTTACTAGTTCTAGTTTTTTATTTGCCAAGTTTGATGCCAGTCGCTTATTTTATTTACACGTTGTGCATAAAGCTATTCTGGCATTCATAATCTAGTTGCTTTTGAAGTCTTGACAGATGTTCTTGCTTTTAATTTATTGTTCAGTTTCTGTTGCAATTCTATAATATTAAACTGCTTAATTTGTAACTGAACTATAATAAGTTATAGTCTGTGCAAAAATAACATTTTCTCCCTCAACAGAATAAAAGATGACCATGTAATCCAGCATGGGCTGGTTGTGGATGGGACCAGCCTCTCTCTTGCACTCAGGGAACATGAGAAACTGTTCATGGAAGTTTGTAAAAACTGTTCTGCCGTGCTGTGTTGTCGCATGGCTCCCCTGCAGAAGGCAAAGGTAAGTCATTATACGGTATTAAGTTTTCTTTTAAGCTACAGGGCTGTCTCATTTTGTAAGCTGCTTTATTGCATTGATGATGCTGGTTTCCTGCATTGCAAAGTTCCTTATAAAGTTTGACATTCAGAAATTCTGTTTTGAAGAATATGTAGTGAACCCGAAACCAAAGACAACCTGTGTCAAACTCATTTGTGTTTTCCCCTACTGATTGGTAGGCTGTCTGGTCATCTAGCAGATGTGAATTTCTGCTGCAAGCGTTTTCGTTTTGTTTTAGCTCAGATTACCTCCTAAGTGTGCCTCGGTGGTAAGATGATTATTAGGTCAGCCGCATCAGAGAGTGAAACAAGAGTTCAGTCAATGTCTAATATGAATTTCTTAATTCTGTATATCACGGACAGCTGCTAATCTAACAGAGTATCTGAGAGATTTGTCACCCAGCTGCTTGGTTGTTCCACACAATATAATGCATATTGCAGTAGTTAGCTTCAAAGCAATAGGACTTAACGTGAGGAGCCTGGCAATCGCAGCAAAATAATGAGGAATAATTAGGGACACGCTTCCAGGTGTCCCTAATTAAATTCTGGACCTGGTCACTGACTGTTGGTCACTGTTCCCTAGAATACATGTAGCAATACACACTGTATTAAGTTGTCCTCATTTAGGACATATCAACAAAAAATAAAGGAAAATATTTGAGTACATTGTTCCTAAAAGTAATTATTGTTGGGTTTTTTGTTTTTGTTTGTTTGTTGGCAAAGTATTACTAGGATATTGAAATGACTGGCAGTAGCAGGGTTGTGGGATTTTTCTAGTATTTTTTTTTTTTTTACTAGTATTTTTAGTACCCCAGCTTTTTGAAGCTACTTGAGAGAGTCAGCTGTCTTTTCTATATTACTCCAGATAGGAAAAGAGGTTGGTCATGTTGACATAACTAAGTTAAGGAATACCCCTTTAAGGAACTCGTTTGCATTTCACCCCCCTGGCTAAATGGAGAAATCTCTCAGGATTAAATTGGAGATGATGTATGGAGAAGGAACAATATAGTTCCTAACTCAGGATTGACTTGGGGGAGAAATGGGGCTTTATTTCTGAACATCATAATGGGGTCTGTAAGGGCCGTGTGCTTTAAGGCTCTCTTGTTTCTTGCAACTGCTTTACATCTAGTCTCATTTTTAGGCCTCTTTTCAATTTTGTTCATTTCTGTCAAATCAAAAACAATGCTGAAAATATTTGCAGCCTTTTCTGGAGATAGCAAAAATCTTGTAAGACATCTTGTTTTTCAACAGCATTTATGATGGTTAAAGAGGCTGTCGTCTCGACTTTAAACAACTGTTTTGTTTTGCCTTGCTGTCATGATGATATTACTAGTTTTAGCCTCATTCTTGAAATTACTTTTGGGGGACAGCAGGGAATTGCCTGTCAAAGATGAGAAATGATCATAAAAAAAAAAGCACCACAATATGCCACCAGTTCACATACATTCTCTGAGAAGATAGTTAAACAAACAGCCAGTTCAAATTCCGCTGTTCCCATTCCAGAAGGCTAATCTGTAAAAAGCCCATAACCTTCCTCCTTAAAACTGAAGACATGCAGTCCATCTTGTCAAACTGTCTGTATTTTTGTCCATCTTCATTCTTCTTTTTTTCTGTGATTAGTACCAAACTACACCTGTATTGCTACTGTTTTCTTTTATAGGGAATTTTTAACCTACCAGTGTATTCCATGCTTTGCTGGCATAGTTATATTCTAGCTGTTCTAGCCTGTTTCTGAAATTAGTATAAATGGAAGTGACCTGTTGTGAGAGCATAAAGAGGAAGTTTGAAAACTCCTGATACGCCCTGCATATAAACGTAGGAATTTAATTAAGAGTGCAAATAACTTGCATAGTAGAAAGGAAAGGGAATCATGGTACCCTATTTAATAGTCCCAATCCTCTATTCTGCTGTGTTATGTATTACAAGAGCATTGCTTTATTTTAAATGCGGCTTACAGGAGTAAGTGACCAAACAGCAAAGAAAGGCTTAACGTTAATTTCTTCTGAATGAGACATTATTAACGTTCTCTTACTTTTCTTCTGAGATGAAAGGGTGAGGCTTGGATTGGGAAGAATTTCCCATGTTCTATTTTCAAATTCCCCTTTTGGAAAGGTAGGGAGGACCTTTCATCAGGATATTTGACCTTTGACAGAGAGTGGAGATGTTAATTAACATGGATATAGTGTATCTTCAGGTAGTGCCTGCGCTTACTTCTCCAGCGATTTTTGTGCAGTACACCACGGACTACCTAATCACTTTTCATTTATCCATTCATTAGTTGTTTTTTTTTATTGAGCTTAGATAGGGTTACCATATATCTGGGTTTTCCTGGACATGTCTTCTTTTTGGGTCCTCTGATCTCCGCCCAAGTGGGTTGTTTGTTTGGTTTTTTTTTATTTGAACAAATGTCTGGGATTTTGCTCTGCTCCACAGGTAGGAGCAGGGGGAGGGTGATTGGAGGCAGGGGACACCACGTGCATGTGCGCGTGGACACGCATGTGGCCGGCATGCAGCCAGGCAGGGTGGAGGGGACAGCCTTGGCAGCTGGATACAGGTAAGTCTGTGGGGGTGGAGGGCCAGGGCTTGGGAAGTGTGTGTACCCACCTGTTGGTGCTGGGGGAAGTAGTCTGGGTGCTGGGGCTGCAGCAGGATGAGGGGGGAGGCACCTGCCTCTCCAGCAGGGGAAGGGGATAGGGGGGGCCCTTTGAAGGCAGTGGGGGGGCTCCATGGCCAGGCCAGCAGCACTAGGGCTGGTGTTCGTGGGCAGGAGTGTGGGGCAACTGGGAGATGCTGCCTGGAGGGGGCATACCCAGGCCCCCTGGCGTGGTGCAGGAGCCTCCCTCCAGCCTGCGCTAGGGCCAGACTCACTGCCACCACCCTCACGGGTCAGAGCTGCTGTACTGGGGCCCCCTTCAGCAGGGAGCAGGGGGTTGTGGGTTAGGAGTGAGGGGCACCAGCAGAGCTGGGGGGCTATGGCTTGGGAGTGAAGGGCACCAGGGGGCTTCAGGTCAGGAGTGAGTGGCACTGGCAGCGCCTAGGCACTGCAAGTCAGGAGTTAGGGGCACCAACATGGCCTAGGGGAGGAGGTTGGGGGGGTAGCGAACTGTGGGTTGGGAGTGAGCTACACCCCCCCCCCACCCCCGACAGGTGTCCTCTTTTTTGGAACTGGAAATATGGTAACCCTAACTTAGATATAATTGCAGGGATCTTGTAGTATATCGCTTGACTGCATACCTCTTCAGATTTATCAAAAGCATAAAGAAAACACCAAATAATTTCTGTGACAGTTTTATATAGATTTGTATTTTTAGGGGCATTCTTTCTAGCTTGTATTAATACGAGAATAAATTCACAGTTGAGTCTGGTTGTTAGCCTCAAGGTGGACTACAGCCAGCAGCATCTATGCTTCACGTACTCATGCAGCATCAATGACTCATTTTCTCTTGCAAGTAGAGTTCTGTATCATATGAGCACTCTCTTTCCTTGGTTGTCTGTGGACCCCCTTATAGACAAGCAGAGAGACATGGGATAGAGTACTTCTCACACTACATCATCCAGTGCTAGTCTCAAGAAACTAGATTGGTTTTTACAAGGTTTTCACTCCAAGCACCTGCATCTGAGGAAGTTTATTACATACTTTGAAAGAACTCCAGTTACAGGGAAGTAACTCTTGTCTTTGTAAAGTTCTTAAGGAAATCTACACTAGCATAGTGTATCGTATGCATTAATTACTATGTGATCTGTTTTGCTTTACCTTTTAATAAATTGCTGGGTATCCCACAGGTCTGCACCAACGATTGATTCTGTTCAGACCGTAAAGAAAAATATGGAAGGAGAAATACTGACAACTTGTTACCCATATCTAGTCCAAAAATCCATATACCTTCTAAATTATTGTCTGGAGTAAAATTTCTCATGCCCGGTAAAATTTCTCAGACTTACAGGCATCTTGGCCTGTAAATGAATCTCTAATTAAATGCTTTTGGTAACTGATTGAATAGTTAATAATCACAACACACCTGTTGGTCCTCAGAGATCACAAGTTTATCTAATGCAAAGAGCTTTTTCTAATGTTAGGCTCCTATTCAAAATTCTTCCTTTCTGCATGCAGCAGAGATATTTTTATGCTACCTGTGCATTTATTACATTAGCAACTCCATGTTTTACTGTACATCAGTAGTCTGGGGAGACATTGTACAAATGTGCACTTCCTTTCGCTGGAGTCATCAGGACTGATTTGCTGGGGTATTTCACAAAAAATCTAGTCTTGCCTCTTAGACTTAATGGACAGTGTATAATTTTATTAGTGCCTTTATGGATCCTCAGCTTTGGAATTAGTGAAATAAGGTTGTGCCTCTCTCTCTCTCTCTCACTCTCCAGTGGGCCAGAACAGTGCTGTAGTTCAGCATCTCTTACTTCATTCATCTCCAGCTTCATCCAATGCAATCCAGTTATTTGAAGCTGAATTTGGGGCAGCAGGGAGCAACATTTTAATCCTGCACTGCATGCTCCCATGGGGCTGTTTACTGAACATGACCACTCTCAGGTCACTCCTCGTCCTACATTCTTCCCATTTTTCATGGGGGTGAGACAGGCGAGGCAAAGCAAACTCCAAGTCAAGGTGTTTCATTGGCAAAAAAAACCTTTTCCAAAAGTCGTTTTTCTGTTCAGAGCCAGTTAAC